AATATAAAAAAGGCTGCAACTTCTGCCCTTTGAGGGCACTGTAGTGACTAAACAGCGTATCAAATTTTGAATACTTTTTGAAGTCACTTCACCAATGGCGTCCCTGACCAAAGGTCCATGCATGATGCATCATCACACGGTACATTCAGAGAGCTGTGCTCGCTATGAGAAGAAGGTTCCTACAAGTCTCTCACAGTAACTGCCTCTGTCACTGAGTAGTTAAGGGCCATCTGTCTCCCCTTCTGAAGTGAGGCCTTCTTACCGTTCGCTTAGGGTAGGACGTGAAAAGATGATCAGTGCTGTGGGATGAATTGGGCCTTATTGCTTTACTACTATTCAGTGCAGGTTCTAGAACCACTTTCACCCAAACAGAAAGAAAAACCAAAAGCTGAGTCGGAGGACAACAATTTCTTTGTCTTTTGTTTGGTTAGATGGTAAGACGAACGGACAAGTGCCTCAGCTCGCTGCACTGACGACAGGCAAGCAAAGGCGATTACCAGTTAACTGATCAGCAGGCAGGCATGGTCAGGTCATCATTGGGTGAAGAGTTCAGAGGTCAGAAGGTCATAGGTTAGTTGCCGGTGGCGGCTGGGTGGTTAGAAACAAAAAACAAAACAAAACAAAAAAAAAAAAAAAAACAAAAAAACAAACAAAAAAAAAAAACAAAAAAAAAAAAAGAAAAGAAAAGATAGAGAAGAGATTAGTTTCAGCTAGTGACGGCTTAATGACAACATGAAAAACTAATCACAACTAATAAAAAAAAAGCATGTTTAATTCTGACAAACTGATTGACACCATCTACAGAATACAATAAAAATCATGACAGTTTCATATCATGATTTGAACAAATGAAGGAGAGCCCACTCCCACCAAAAAAAAAACAAAAAACAAAAAAAAAAACTGGTTAACAAGAAAAAATAGAAATAAAATACAACTAACAACTAATAGTTAGTAGCAGTCAATGGAGGAAACTGGAGAACAACAACAATGAATAGGTTTGATAAACAGAATTCTGAAACAGTCAGTGCAGTTATCAGTATCTGACTGCTATTAAGCATTAGTATTCTCTCAGAGGCAAGCATCAAAGCAACTATTAATGATGGATGTGATTATTAATAACTGATGATCAACAGAAATGAATCTAAGGAAATTTAAATTCCTATGAACAATTTGGTTCAACATAAACTCTGGGCCAAACAAGGTTTCTTTTGTTCAATAATGTTTATTGCTTTTTCAATTATTCTATTTACAAACAACATGGAATTTCTTGGCCTTATGATACAAAGCAATACTAAACTGTAGTCTAGCGGTGGAGGCAACGTCATGGGAACCAGAAAAAGGCCAGGCCTTTCGCACCAGCCAGCACTTTCCAGTTGAAAATACTATTTTACACATATAGAACACTTATAAAATGCACTGGCATGTAAACACTGTAAAATCCTGCCATTTAAAATTCTATACTCAAAAAGCTCTAAGTACATCAAAAAATAGAAGAAATTTCTAATTGATACCAATAAGGCATTTTAAAACTACAAACAGCTTTCTTTATTCAATTTCAAAGCTAATACTCTGCAAATACAATAAAATCTGACATTTCATATACATTCCTGCTTTATATTTTATATTTTAAAAGAAGCCACCTGTAAATACTATTTTCTTTTGCAAAATAACAAACAGAACAAAAAAAATTAAAAAAATTACAGTAAAACACAAAGTAGTTCTCAAGTGGAAAGTTATCGTGCCCAGTGTCCTCGAGTTGTTCCTTCCTTATAATCAACCTCTGTCACATTCTGCTTCTCCAAACTTGGTCCACTTAACAGTAGTATGATTTTTAAGACTCATTCAACAGCTTAATTATTTCTACTCTATTCTGAGGTTTGAGAGAATTTTCTGTACTGTTGCCATTGTGACTAAGGCAGAGGAGATGTGAATGAAAAACTATTCAGTGCGAAGGTAGACTCCGTGCCACTCCATAAATCGAGACCCAGTGGGTATAATGTTCACAGAGTTATTTGAAATAATCTATATAATGGACTGGTTTACTTTCATGTAACAAAAATGCTTTCTAGAGTCTATCATTTAGGATAGTTTATAAATACTACAAAAATACTGTATCTTCAATGGGACCAAATCTTCCCTGAATTTCTTAAAAATAAGTGGAATTTTATTCAAAATAAAACTTGCTATTCCAAAATTAAAGAAGAAAATAAATATTTAACAAGATGTAGTCATACCACTTCATAGTCACTCCCAAAATACAGAATCTTAAAGCATTTTTGATATTACTTAAGATTTTGATTAAAATTGTATTAAGTTTCTTATACAAATTATGTAAATGGTTTTTATAAAATCATTACTCAGAAAAACTCTGATTATGTTTTTTTGTGTGGAAGAAACAAAGCCAACTACCACTTCTATGTACACCAGAACATCTAGAACACGTCCTCTGCCAAGTCCTGGCCTCCCACAGTACACACAGGTGTGTCCACCGTGCAAAATCACTTATGGTTCACTACGACTAACAAGTCAGTTGGTCTTTTACAGGCTTCAAATTCAGTTTTGAAATAGGTGTCGAAGTGGGTTTATTTTTAGTAAAGAACTACATATTTGTCAACCATGCAGTACTCTAAATGCATATATAAAAATACATGGTTATGCGTCCAAGGGCTGAGTTTCCTTGCATTAAAAGTGAATGTTTATATTAATCTTCCCTTCAAAAAAAAAAAAAAAAAAAAAAAACCTCAAAAATAGAGAAAACAGTAGTATCATAAAATAATTTAAATGAAGGACTTCAGACATCTCCCTTAGACCCAATGAGTGCATACAGTGATCATAACAGCAGTATACAAGTATTCTGTTATTTAAAGGAAAAAAAAAGAAAAAAAAAAAGGTAGCTTTTCGGTTTGCTGACATTGCATTTTCAATAAAAGTGAGAAGACTAATCACAAACACATATAACTACAAAAGAGCCATGCATGGAATGTGATGTCATTTCCAAGTACTATAAAATCTTCTTAATATTGTTTTTGCCATCTCAAGGCACTGGAGCACTGAGTCACCAATAATTACTGTGTTAAAACAAAATTACGAGAAACCTCCTAAAAAGGGGCAGGCAGGGAAAGGTTAATAGAAGAAAAACTACTTAAAAACACTCTTTCAAACTATTGCAGACATTAACAATGTGAAAAAGACTTCAGATTATTCACGGGATTATTGGGTTTCTTTCAATCTAAAGTGACTTTTAAAAGCAAGGTCCTCCTTCACGAGGAGACTCGTTCTGCAAGAAGGGGGCACACAGGGGCAGTGCACACCTCCACGGTGTCCTACTGTCACAGGTCATCACTGAGCTTGGAGCTTGGGGACTATTTATTTCATTCACTGAATAATCGTTAAGTAACATACGTATACGTTAAAAGTCTTCGATTCAAGGCTCTTTGAATTATGTCTGATGCTAAAGAAGTATCATCAGTGTCTTTGGAAAGTATTTTATTCTGACGTGGACAACAGTTGTGTCCAATGTTTATCATCAGTATTCAAGAGAACCATGTGAAGCAGGTAGGTCGTTCTTAAATTCACAGAAGGTGTAGGACAGGAGTGGATAAATCCCTCACTTTTCCCACTAGCATGAGAGACTTCGATCAAATTAATTAGTAAGTAATACATGTGCAACAGAAGCTCTTCAAAGATCTTTTTCCACCTTGCTTCAGATTCTTACCTTGTGATGACACACTAAGAAAACAATTCAATGTCAATAAACCGAAAATAACACTCCTCAATAAACACAAATAATTTATAAAAGGGTCCAAGGGCATATATAGGACACAAATTGCAAGTGTTGAAAAGGAGAAAAATGAAGACTTATTTTCCAGTCACAGGTTAGTCAAAAAAGATATTCAAAGCTGGATTCATGTCTCCATAGACCTTCAAGAGATAGTTTACCTTCAGATAATATATTTTAGCAGCAAATGACAAAAATCGAAGGATCCATTTTGGCAAGAGAATGTAAGAATAAAAGGGAACTGATTTTCTCATTCATAAAAAATCTTCACAGTCCTTACTTTCTTGATTTCAGCTAAGTGCTCGACATGCACACCCTCATGTTTACACAGTGGCCCAAGTATCTTAATAAAAAGGAAAATGGAAACTAAATCTTCAGTTTTCTCCACAAGGACACAGGAGGCATATATTCCTTTACTTCTCTCATTAAAGCACCATCCGCTCAGTTCATTTTGCAAAACCAACCCAAAATTTCACAACAATTACAAGGTATATTTTAGCAAAAGTTATTACTGAAAAATAATTAAGGCAACATCAAAATTTAATACCTCCCCACATGGACCAATTCATGTTTTAGTAGGAATAAATCACAGTACATACTAATATAGGATTTAATAAGTTAAAATATGAAGGGAACACACAAAAAAAAAGGAAAGGGAAAGAAAGGAGGGGAGGGGAAGGAAGGGGAGGGGGAGAAGGGAGGGGAGGGGTGGGGGGAG